ATGAGCAGCTAAAAGGGTTCCACCTGAAGTGAAGTGAGACCAATGGACTGAGTCTGGCCAGCTTGCTTGTGTGTGTGTTTGTGTGTTTCCTCACCATAGTATTTAAAAAAAATAATAAATCACCAACTAGTATACAATTGGGATATTTCATACAAAACCAGGATTTCTAGCTTCTTAGAATAACCCTTAGAATACCAAACAACAGATGCTCAAAAAACTAAATTGTGCCTTCACTCATCTGCTTGATCTTCCTGGTCCTTGAAGTCGTTTGGGTTGGAGACCCTTGGTTAACGTCATTAGTCTAAACCCTCCAAACATTTTTTTTTCTTGAATCCTCAGTGTTTTAGGTGAACGTTGGGTGGGTGGTTGTACCTGGTGCCAAGAGAGATGCCAGAGTGGGCAGATGAGCAAGGGGAGGGGAGTTTAGTCACCTCATCCACTGTGATGAATGGACTGTGAGGATGTTGGTCAGGCCTGGCTGGCCCTGGGGGTGTAGCTTTGGACTCAGGCTTCTGAGGGTGTTTGTCAGACCTGGAGAATCCCTTGAGGCCGCTCTTCAGAAACTGAAAACCCTTCGAGGACAGACACTGCAGAGCCGTAGGAATCTTGGTTTCCATCCTTGAGTAGACACAGACCTATACTTTGACCCTTGAACCAAACTGACCTGCTTGGATAAGACCTCGTGTATGGAAGCAGGCCAGCTGAAAACTGTGGGTGCCCACTGCACCCTTATTTCCCATTCCACAGCAGGCCAGTAGAGGTCTCATGGGAGCCATGGTGTGGAGCTGTCTAGCCTGGCAGTTGCTGGATATTTAAAACATCACCAAAATATCATTTTGCCACTGGGTGCCTGGCAAAATATTCTTGAGCCTGGAGGAAGTTCACTGGTATGAAGTATGGAAATGACTTTGTCGGGGTAGGAAATTGCTTGAGTCACAGCAGGCTTTCTGTGGCTTCCTTCTTCGGCCTGGAGCACCTCAGCATCTGTCTCCATTCAAAGGCAGCCTTGAATGGGGATAGAAGGGGAAGGACACAGACAGTAAATTCTTTTTACTTCACCTAAAATCCCTTAGGCTACAGCTTAAGCTCATTTCCTCATTTTGCATCCTGTGGAGACGAAAAAAAACCAAAAACCAAAACAGCTTGTCAGGCCCTAACCTGTCATTGAGGCTCTGTGAGGTACCTGCCAATGTTCCCTCTATTAGGCTATATACTTCCTGTTGTACTGACTGTGGGTTTGCCCTTTGTCTCTTCAGAGAGGCAGTTCATGGGATATAGAGCTGTAGAGAATATACCTAATATCATCTTCATTAAATGAGAATGCTGACAGTGTTACAAAAAGGTCATGGGCGCCATTTGTCTAGCAGAGAGGATGGTCTGTTCTAAGCTTCTAAGAACACGTCAAGGTAAATAAGGAACCAGTTTGTCATATTTCATCTGTATGCCACCAGAACGCAGATCCTGTAGTAGGACCAGGAATGTGGCCTGCAGACCTTGAAACCAATTTCACAGTCCTTATGCCATTACCTGTCAGCTAAGGAATGAAGTCATGAGACCTACACGATGTCGATCAGGAATAGAACATATCGTCATGTTTCTAGCCTCAAGAATAAGCTTTTGTAATCCAAGTTCATGCACATTGATCTGTGCCTGCCTGGAATGGTTGTTCCTTAGAAGGATGCTGGTTTGATGAGTTTACTCGGAGCTCAGGCACTGGGGGGCCCAGTGGGGCTGGAATAAGAGACAAAGTGTCTTATGCAGCCTTCCTCTTTTTACCCAATTCTTCCTGAGCAAGGCTCGGATGACATTCCCTAGGAAGCCTCAAACATGTCATCAATGTTAAATATCAAAGTCGGTGGGAATTTAGGGAATAGAAATATCTCCCACTCAAGCCACTGTTGTGTTTTGTTTGACTGGCCCAATGTACATGTGTTGGGGTGTAGGGTGGAAGAGGGAGTGGAGGTATATTGGCCTAAGGCCTTGGAGAACCTTAAATTCAGAACTGATCTTACGAGGAGATTGACCCTAAGGTTGTCTCAGAGGTATGATTTCAAGGTCCCCCAAAGGCCTTTGTGTTACAAAATGACCTTCGTTACGTAACTCTGTAAGGCCTAAAATGTCACTATTAGAAAGTCATTCCTCTGGTCTAAGGTTTTGTTGTAAGAATGAAGATACCCTCCGAGAGAGCACATCATTCACTTGTTCCATTCGCTATCCTCACTTGAAGACCCCCAGCACAGGGGAAGTGACTGTGGGCGGGGGCAGGAGGGCCCCCCCAGAGGGAAATGACGTGGGAAGGGGAGGTAGATGGTAGAGGAAATGGTTAACACCACTAGGGAGGCTTCACAGTTTCTTTTAGAATAGTAGTCGCTTCCTGGAATAGTTAACTTTCAGTGGATGTGGTCATTGGTCCTTTATGAGCAGGGGCAGGCTCTGAAGGTCTGTGAGCTGTGGGAAGACCAGGCTTGGGAGTTGGACAAAGCAGCGTTGGCCTTTGGCTTCAGCCTGGCGCAGCTGTGTGGCTCCAGGCAGTTCTTCTAACCAATCAGCTCCAGGCCCTGCTTTCCTCACCTGTAACATGGATGGAGTCAACAACACCTCCCAGGTGGTATGTGTTATATAAGCTCCTCCTGTGATGTGAGTTTAATTGCTTCGAGCAGTGGGTGGCAGATGGTAGACACTCACAAAGCCCCTCTTCCTGTCCATTTCATTCGCCCAGTTTTATACACTTAGAGCAGTTTTACACCATCTGGCTTATTTTGTTTAACATACAAATGCTGGCATAGGCGAGCGTTGAGTTGAAACATTGCGTGATGGTCCTTGACCACTGGCAAGAGGACAACAAACAAACTCATGCATGGACACACATGGACATCTGATTGGGTCAGCAGAATGACATGAATCATTAGGTTTTGGCAATCAGGAGGTATTTGCCCCTTGCTCTTCTTTGCTTTGTTTATCTTAGTCGAGCTCCTTGAAAGTTTCGAGTGTCTCTCCTTACGCTGGGCTGATGCAACCATTTGCATGTGGATTCTCATGTGAGTTAGAAACTATTCTGTGCTGTTCCAAGGATAGATGCAAGGCTTCGTAAGGGAAGAACACTGAGTATGTTTATAAATTGACCCCCTTTCAGATGTCAGTAATGAAAGTAAATCGTTGTCAGATTCAGGCAGTTCTGTACTGATTGGATCACTGGTACCCAGTAGAAAACTTGAGGCTGTTGGGGTTCCACGGATCTCACACTGCAGACTGCCTAGGATCAAAGTTTGATTTGGAGGACTTGGAATTGAGCTGTAGAGAAAAACATTAGTCATGCATTCATGCACTGGCTTTCTTTCCTGGGAGAATCGCCCAGCCATGAGCTCCCGCTTTGCAGTTTCCAAGATCTTGCTTTGTTTCTACCCACCTTGGGGTCGCTGTGAGATATTGGATTCCTGGAATGATTTCTGCTGTTTCAGGAAATAGGGATTGCAACTAGGGAAAGTTAGTTGACTAATGTTAGTGAAACCTGGGAGAGATAAAGGGAACTAAGGAAAGGGGACCCCAGTCCTTCAGCAGAGAAAATCCTGAATTCTCTCATAGGCAAGGAAGGGCAAATGAGACCTATTGAAGGGTAGCGGTGATTACTAATTTTACAGGCCCTGAGATTCACTAGTGTGCTGTCCTCACAGTCCCTTTAACTCAAGATTTCCCAGCTGGCATTAGGCTTCCTTGTCTGTCTCTCCCATCAGGGTTTATAGGAACCTCACCTCTGAAACTGGGGAGGGAAAGCTCTGTGGGTTTTGATCCATGCCCAAAGCCTGACATTGTGCTTTTCTCTCCAAAATGGGCATTCTTTCCCTAGTGCTTTCCAGTCATCATTTTCATACTCCTTTTTGTTTCATTCCATGAATTTCTCTAGCAGAATCATAGGAGTTCTTTCCTTTGCTAATTGTTTTACTGTAGGAGAAGCGGACCAATTCTGGGACGAATAAGTGATGTGTGTTAGAATCAGCTGTACTCACTCTGTTCAGAATTTTCATTCAGTATTAAAATCACATACTAACCCATCTGTGTGTCATCATGAAACTCCCTTCCCTTCCTTCTCCATGAGAGTCCAAATTCATTTTTCTTAATGTTACTAAGTTTAAAGGTTTCTGGTTTTTTTGGTTTTTTTTTTTAGGTAACTTTGTCCCCTGAGAATGAATGCCTTGCATAATCAGTTTCATATCCAAGTTTGCCCCCAATTTGACTGTTGCATGCATATTTAGCATATATTTATGTTATGTTCCATTGCAATTTCAGTTACATAATGAGCTGAGAGATTTTGCTTGACAAAATGTTATGTTTCATTTTATTTTTGAAAATCAAGAATACTTTTTTGGAACCTCATAACGGAAGATAAAAATGTAATTGTGCTTCTTAACTTGTTTTTCTTCTTCTGCAATAAAACAGGGCAGCATTTAAATGAGCTAAATGCAGATAAAAACAGAAGTTTAACTGCCTTTTAAGGCATTGATGATCCTGTTTTGTTGTTTTTGTGTAAATGAATGCTCCCGTTATCTCATTTTGGATTCAGTGGATATTCTTCCTGATTATGAGAGTTTCATGTTATTCTTCTCAGAGTAATTTCAAGATTGTACTATGTAAAATCCAAAGAACCTATTTAATATATGACTGCCTCTGCAGAATATGTCAAATTACGAATTTGTTATTCTTACACAAGCAAGGCAACAGAGTCAAGCCAGAGAATGCCTAGAGTTTATTTTGATTTGTCTCATTTTGGGTTTAAATTTACCACCCACAGTTATCCAAAATACATAAAAGCTTGTGGGTTTGGCATGTTTGTTTTGCTGTCATACTGTAACGATGTCCAAACATGACTGTGCTTAAAGTCTTTCGGATCAGACAGATTAAAAGTCATTTGCTCTTTTGCTAACAATATCAGAGAACATTGGAAAAATGAATTCGTTTTCCCAACCTGCCATTCCCGTAAGTTGATAGTTGCGCTGTTTGCATAGCTGACCACCCACTGAAGCCAAGGCATGTGAAACTGCTGTCCACTAAAATGGGCCTGAAAGTCACGTGGGACCCACCCAAAGATGCTACCAGTAGACCCGTGGAGCATTACAACATTGCCTATGGGAAGTCACTGAAAAATCTTAAGTACATCAAGGTGAATGCGGAGACACACTCCTTCCTTATTGAGGATGTGGGTAAGTGACACCCTGGTCTTCTTCCCAGTCAGAGCTAACTGCACCCCCGTTCTCAGCCCCATTTTTAGGATGACTGCTTGTGAGACAAAGTGTGGCCAGGCTCGTGTGGTGCTTTGGGAATGGGACGCCAAGGTCCTGAGTCTGCTGCTTCCTCATCCTGTGTTTGAACTCCAGTATTCCTGGATCTCTCTCCAAATTGAAGTTGGAAACAATGTTTAATTTCTGAACCTGTTTTGGGAAAACATGTTGATCTTTTTTTTATCAAAATTTGACTACTGGACGACTTTGTAGCCTAATCTTGAGATCACATTTATAAACCGCTTTATCGTTAGGGATTACTCAAGTTATATGTCCCTGTAGAAGTGTGTGTGTGATATGTCACCCTTAGCCACATCTGGTTCAAAGATGGAACATTTTCCCCCCATGAAATTTGATTCTGGAAGTTTGGACTATTTTAAATTTTGCCCAAATATGTTGTTTTATAAGTGTAGGTATAGATGGTTTTGAACTTGGGCTTTGAGTTGCCTCCTATAGATCCTCTATCTTCTGTTCTTTTGATCCCGGGAGCTTGAAACTCCACTTACTCTACAGTCATCTCCTGGTCCAACCTTAAGTTGAATGATAAGGAAGTGACAGACATCAGTATCTATGACTACTAGGTCTCCCCATGCCATGTTAGCATTTTTGCTGCCTTACTCTAGTGGATCAAAATTAATTCATGCTCCCTGTTTCCTGACCACAGTACCCCACACGTCTCCTACATTATAATGTTAGCCTTTTTGGGTATTTGGGGAGAAAAGTGAATAGAAGGGAGATAAAGGGGGCCAGATTCACTTCCTCATGGTTCCAGCTCAGCATCCATTTCTCTGAATCTCTTCCGCATCCCTACGGCCCCACAGAGTCCCACTGTGAGGTTAAATGGAGGTTCTGTCGGACCAAAGGGAGGAGCAGGGTCCCATGTGCTTGCTCAAACCTTGGCTTGTTATGATTGCTGCAGAGAAAAAAACACGCAAAAAGAGAGACTTAGAACTCACTGAGAAGCAGCGTCCCCCAAACAACTCTGATGAGTTAACTGAATGCAAATCGGAGGCATGTGGATTACATTTCTTTGAAATACCAGTAAGCTCAGAACAAAGAAAGTGCCTGGCACAGCATGGTTTTATATTCTGTTTGAACATGGAGCATTTCACAGTTAGTCCTGCAGGTCATGCCAAACCCTAAATGCCACCAGGCCCTGCCCTAGTCAGAGAGAAGTCACACCAGGCTTGAGCACAACAGGTGCTCCAGACGGTATCGGCATCGCCCTGTGTCCTGGGCCTCTGGCTGGAGAACTGAAGTTTGTGAAAGGCACGCTCCTCATTTTGAGAAGTGTAATTACCGTTATTGCCTTTGACAGAACTAGCTCTAACCTCTCCAACCCTTCATCCCCTCAAATGCCTGCAAACTTTCATCTCTTCAAGGAATTGGCACCTTCACTTACCTTTCTCAAGATAATGATTCATTTTGAGGAAAGTCAGCACCACTAGCGTTTTGCTTTTCGAAGCGTCAAGTTCAGGGTACACTCATGCCCTAACCTGGCATCGTGGTTTCCTTGTGCATCCCAACAACTTTAGGAGCTCAGCCAGAGAGACCATTGCTATTTTGACCTTGACCCTTAGATGCACGTCAGAAAGTGAAGCCCAATTATTTCAAGATGAACATTTCCAAGGTTTCAGGAAATATTTTTCTAGATTTTTGTTGAAATAGTCAAAGACAACATGCAGACATAGTAAGGGGAACATTTTATTGTGAAAAGGAGAAAATTTCATGAAGCTTTATTGAATTGAACATTTCCTAGGTACTACATTTTATGAGTTACATTTTTCTTATTATTTTTTGGAGATTTCCCTTGGGAGCTTCCATGGGGAAATATTATTTGTAGTTACTGACACTGTAGGTTGAAACATGTATTTAGTAGACAGCACATTCCTGCTTCCTACGTTAATTTCACATTAAAAAGCTTAACAGCTCTTTTGTTGAGTACTCACGCACCCAGGTTTATTTCACATGCCATGTACTTTGTACTAAATAAATTTTGTGGTTTTTGGTCAGGTGTATTTCAGTTGCATGAGGGGAATGTTAGTATTTTGATTTAAAAAAAAAAGAGAGGATGCTTTAGTTAGACTTGTCCTATAATTCAGATTTTTTATATTTGGTTGTAACTGGTCCAAGGAAGACAGTTAGTGAATCAAACTGTCCTTCTTGGAGATTCGAAACGGTGGCATGATATGAACCGTATGTTTCAGAGCCGGGGGTAGTGTACTTTGTGCTGGTTACGGCAGAAAACCATGGTGGAGTGAGCCGTCCTGTTTACAGAGCTGAGAGCCTGCCTGGTAAGTTCTATCTAGAATTGGAGGCTGTATTTTTGTGACTTATTATAGATTGGGAGAAACATCCCTCCTTGCTTCTTCAGGTCAATACAAGTTTAGAACGATGAGAGAGTTCCTTAACAAAAAATTTTTAGACTTGTATAACAAGTGGAAAGGCTGAAAGCTAGGAGAGAGTTATCCCCTCTTTTAAAGTAATTTAATATAGATTGTTAGCGTTTTGTCCTAAATGTTTGAGTACTCACAAGAGTAAGTCACGTACAAAAGACTAAGAAGATGTGTTGTCAGAAAGCTTAGGTGCTGAGTCATGAACATGTCCCAAGCGGGTCCTTTTGAAGCCTGCTGAAAAGACCCTTTAAATATACACTAGGGATGCCCTGAAATGTGGAAAACCCTATAGTCCTCGTTTCTAACTATCAGGTTGCATTTTCCTAATTTAGGAGGTGAATGGATCAAGATTGATGGTTTTCCCATTAAGGGTCCAGGACCATTTAATGAAACCGTCACAGGTACTATTTGCTCATTCGGTTCATGTCTTCACTGAAGCACCATCTCGCAAGAGGGCTGTGCTTCTGTCACACACATGTGCTCACAAACCTTCATTTAGTTCCCATCGCTAAACTAACACACAAGCCGCACAGTTTTGGTCAATCGCCCTGCACCTGATGGACCAGACTGCAGCCAGTGTCATTCATTTCTCACTGTCCTTTCATGTCCTATCGTGGGGAAGTGTCTGCATCTATGTCTGGGGATTCTGTTGTGCTGTTAACAGGCAAATATGGTAGCTGAGATGGCAGCCCTGGCCTGATGAGGAGGTTTGCAGCTCTTTTACCTGTAGATGACTTAAATGAATGGGACCCACCAGACAGTAGCTTTCTTTGGCTAATATGCTGCATGAAGTCTTTCCTGAAAACCATGGATTAATTGGTGATGGGTTAGATTACCTGCCTTCCATCTCTGCTCCATATTTGTATATATGTATATATGTATGTTTTATCATTTGGATGTTGATGTCGTCTGGTCATATTGTTTTACTTGTTGAGAGAAGTGTTGACATTTCTTGTGTGTTTCTTAAATATACTTAACTAAGGGTGAAAAAATAATGCAAAATGAATGCAGCTATTTCAGAGTATGATTGGGTACTATCCCAAGGCAAGAGGGAGGGGGCTGTTTTATTTTCAATAACCATGTTTTCAGATACGTCAGTCTTGTGTTATTGTTGAGAGGAAGGTGAGTATGTTGAAAACAATGGCTCTAATCTGCTTCTTTGATGGGTGTAGGCAGATTTCAAAGTCCCTTTTATATGGAAAGGAATGGAAGAACAAAACAACCAGAAAAGGAAACTGGCTTTGGAGGAAAGGTGATATATTCTTGTTCACATATGTTGGACTTGAGGTAACCATGGGGCATTGTCATGGAGATGTCTCTAGGTGGTTGTCCCCTAGGGAATGAAAGTTGGCCAAGAGAAATCAGAGGTAGTCATGGGTTTAGGAGTCATGCTGTAGGGTGAGAATTGAAGTAGTGAGGGCGAGGATTAGGAGATGAGCAGACCAGGAAGCAAACCTCGGGAGACACTGGCAGTAAGACAGTCGAGAAGGAAGTATACCCAGGCAGTGTGCGAAATAGGACAGACGTTTATTTCCGAGGTCATCTACCCCCGAAGACACAGTGTGAAC